AACTATAATTTCTAAGTCAGTGTCAGTATATATGAGTATGTATTTTCTCAAACCTCATTCAAACAGGTTTTCTTTGGGAGACACAACACTTATCATCAGAGAATCACACTGAATGTTCTTGGTTTTGTTTTAAAAAGTCTTCATTTTCTTTCCTTTTAAAATGCAATAAATGGCATTACCATATGCAGTTTATGGTAAGTTATTAAACATTGAAAAATTGATTTTCCATTATTTCAATGTAGATTCTACTTTTTTTACTACATAAACCTTTGTCTCTTAAACTCCATGCTACAAAGATCACTGACGTCCATTGCCTAGAACAGTATCTGATACATAGCAGTTGCTTAAAGTTTGTTTAGTGAATAAACGGAGGAGAGACTTACATATAAACATGTTTAAAATGACATATTACTGTTTATAGTTTTTTCCACATAATAAGAAACATTATCATTTTCTTTATCCCCTTATTTTCTTAAACCAATTATTTCCCCTTTTTTCCTGGGGTCTTTGCCCCTTTTGTATTCAGTCTGAATCTTCTGAAATTCTGAAGATACAATCGTGTAACCCTCTCTTCCATCCAATTTCTTTTCTTAATTTCAGGCAATGATGTGAAAATAATGGTACTTATGTCTTTGTAATGACAGAACTTCCTTTGTCTTTTCTTTAGACTCATTTTAATCCTCAGTGACTCATATTTAAGAAATGAACTGTGCAGCTGTGGTCGAGCTAAGTCCTTGGCAACAACTCGAGGGGCAAACAAGTGGTCTCTCACAATGGGTGGTCCTTAGCCTTGAGTTATTTACTGTTCAGTTTAAACAATGGAATTGCATCATTGAATAGTGCCTTGGACTTTTTAAATTTGATAAGACCTTTAAGGTCCATTTCTTTATTTTACAGATCTTGCCCCAGCAATTCTCCACTTTTCCCTGTCTAGGTCTTTAATGTATTTTTCTCTGCTAGGGTGACCAACTGTCCAGGTTTCCCTGGAACTGTCCAATTTTCCTGAGACTGTCCTAGTGTTAGCATTGCATGCCCCACATCCTGAAAAACCCAGTGCTGGGAAAACCAAGGTGGGGTTAATTACCTTACTGCTAGCTTTCATCCTTCAGTCTATCTTCATATCATTCCTACCTTAAAAAGAACATCTCATTCCTTTATCTTGTTATACTCTCTGTCCTCTGTCCTGCTGGCCTCTCTTCCTCTTTTCCTTCTCAGAAAACTAAAAAAAAACAAAAAACAAAAAAACAAAAAAAAACACTGAACAAATGCTTTTTACTTGAAATCCTAATCCTTCATCTTCCACTCACTCTTCAACCAAACCTATTTCTGAAGGCTACTGCCCTCCGCTGAAATTGCTCTCACCAAGTGCTATAAACACTCTGCAGTGCCCATCTTGCTTTACCTCTGTATATCATGATTAGCTGCTTTTGTGTGCCTTCTTCTCGAAACTCTCACTTTCTTTGAAATTTCTACACTTCTCATTTCCCCCAATCTCTCCACTTATCTGTTCCTTTTTGGTTCACTCATGAGATCCTATTCTTCCGTCTTCCCATTAAACTTGGATATGTAGGCACTCGATGTAAATCAGCTGACTGAATGTCCTTTTCTCTAAATCTCCTTTTCTTTTTTCCAAATATCAGACTTTATTATTTTCTTGTGGAAGGAATGTTACTTTGCCAAGCTGAGCTTATCACACTCCCTTACTCTGTTCCCCATACACAGAACCCTCCCTTCTTCATGTTGGGTTTTTAATATTAATCTTTATTAATTTGATCCTTAATGCACTTGTGGTGTTCTGGATCAGAGACAGATTTCTTTTAATTACCTTATAGTAAGTACTGTTGCTACCCCTCTCCTTTTCCCCAAAGACTTATCCCTCGGGTGATGTGATAAATGCTGATGAAAAATTGTCCTACTTCAGTGGCTGGGTACGCCATAGGTGAGAGAGCAAGAAAAATTATTTTTTTCTCTGTTCGTAAAAGAAAAGGAGACAGCCATCCCCCTCTCCTCCTAAAAGATTCTCCCTGGGAAGATAATGGGCCTGAGTCCTAACTCTAACTTCCTTAAGAGCCAGCTAGCCCAATGTGTCTCAGGTTTACAAGCTAGAAATATCTCCAAGGTCTGGCCTTCATATTTTGTGAAATGTAAATACCTAGAGAGATAGCCATTCCAGCCTTTCTGACAACTTGGAGCTTAACCTAGAAACCCAGTACTCTAGGCTATATCCATTTGGCCCTCTTGGATCAGAGAAATTAACTAGACAAATAGCTACAGATATAATTCTTATGGTGTGGGAAGGTTTTCAGGAGACTAGAGCATTTTATAGGTGCACTGAGAAATCCAGGAAAGTTTATTTCCTCATATAATTAGTTTAATTACACCCAGCATTCACTCATCTACGCAACTAGGAGTCATCCTTGCTCCTTCCTCTCTCTTTTCTACAACATCTGCTCAGCCACTGAATCCTCATTCCTCTGCTTTCTATATATTTCCCTATCCTATCCCTGTCTTTTTATCCTGGTACAATTGCCCTGGGTCAGATCCTCATAATCTTTCACTGAATTTTTGCAATTGTGTCCTCATTGTCTCTCCGATTCCATTTCTGCTCTTCTCAAATACATACTTTGTATTTTTTTTTTCAGGGAGATCTATTTGAAACGCACACATGCCTGTGCCACTCCCCTGCTTAAATTCGTTCAAAGGTTTCTGATTACCTAAAAGGCAACACTAAGCATCTTAGCAGGCCATATATGGTCATAGACAGGCTGAGCTTCAAATTCTGGCTTAAAGGTCTAATATATTTCCAGATAATAGCAGTGTCCTGTTTCGTCTCTGGCCATGTCCTTTCCTTGTTCTTTATATTCTAGAAACATTGCCCTGCTTGAGATACCTATACACACCATACTGTAGTGTGTCCTATGTCTCTGCACTTGCATTTTCCTCTTCTCGGAATGCCCTCCAACCTACTCTTCCTTGACTATCTCGTGTTCATGTCTTTGAATTCTACATGATTACTATCTTCTCCTGGAAGCCTTGTGTTGAAATTATTTATGTGTTTGACTCTTTCATTATAACTGTAAGTTCCTAAGTAAAAGGGGTCGTTGCCATACTGTCAAGTCCAAATGGAGAGATGAAGCAAAATAATTTGCTTGAAATTGGGAAAATTACATGTATGAAGAAAATACAGGAATACAAGAACTGTATACATACATACACATGTGTGTGCACACACAATGAGAGAGATTTCAAGTGAAATATTAGAAAGAGAATCAGTCTTATATGTAACCAGAGTAATTACCCACCTACCCAGTATGATTTCAAGGGTACAGGAATATCTGACTATACAGAGATTACTTCCCCATCCACAGACTGAATCCTAATATTCTACTTACACAACTCCATTATTTTGGTTAAAACATCTTGCATCTCTCTATTGGATTGTAAATAACTATGGATGATGAATCATTTTGCAAAATATCAGATTCAGACTCTTTGGAATGGTCAATGCCACTAAGATTTCACTAATAAATATGTCATATAATATAGTTCTGGAGCACTTTTGTAACATAATGCTATATCTGAAATTTAAAAGAGGATACTACTAATTTTTTTTCCCAGTGACAGAACAGGACTTAAATTCAGAAGACAACATTGCTAAAAATAAGACAGAGTTGAAAAAAGATATAAAAAATTAAGCCTTAGATCAGGGCAATTATTATTGCTGTTGTTGTTACACAAATACATTAGCATTTATGTAACAGGCACTTAATACATTTATTAACATCTTCACTTCTTTTTTTTTTTTTGAGACAGAGTTTGGCTCTGTTGCCCAGGCTAGAGTGCCGTGGCGTCAGCCTAGCTCACAGCAACCTCAAACTCCTGGGC